ATGATACTCATTCAGTCTTCCTCCTAATTACCATTCAACTGTGCTTCGCAGAGTGCAAATAACGCCCTACACAAGCACAAATATCACGCGGTATTTGTACTCTAGATATATTCGCGAAATTCACCCGCACTGAATAACAATTTGGCGTGTTGGATTATAAAGACGTTTTGTTGTGTAGTATCGCTGAGTATTTTTATTCGTTATTTGTAGTTTTGCGATACTGCACAACAAAACGTCTAGTAAGATAATTATAATAATTTGAATATATCAACAGAGTTGAAATGGTAAATTGGCCACCGTTACGGTTATAAAAGCTGACGTTTCGAGCGTTAGCCCTTCGTCGGAGCGTCTAGTAAGATATATATCTTTCACCTAGAAAATGGATTTGCTTGGATCAATTTTAAAAAAACTGAAAACCATCAACCATCATAGACGTGGTTCGTGATAATGCCTGTGGACACTTCACCACAGAGGCAGTTTCATGCATCAGCCCCACTGACTCATAGAGTCGTTTGTACATTGCATTGCACTGCCAAACAACATCCCTCAAAACGGCTATCTCAGAGTTTCCAGAATAACATTTGTTCTTCAACGAACTAAAGTAAGAAGTCCTAAATAGCGAAAACATAGACCGATTACTAAAGGCAGTTAGCATACGAATTAGTATCAAGGGCACATCACTTAAATAATGAATTTCCGGCATCGTCATTACCAGTGTTCACTAATACACGTCGTTAGGAAAAACCAGATACGAGAGGGGCTAACTGGCAAAAGCATTGTCGCCTGTCAACGACGAAACTTCTTACGAATAATTGCTACGAACAACTTTGCACTAACCACTTCTAGACGAGCTCAAAGTCGGTCGAACAGACTTGAAAGAAAACCACCCTATGAAAGGATAGCACAGGATCTCCAAAATAAAACAGAACCATCTCCGTTAATAGAAGGAGAAATAGCCAATGTATGCAAAGCGGTTGTTGGCTTATCTTAAAATTTGAAGTGAAGACGAATGTGTTCACAGTAATGACGATCACTTCGATCGCTTAAGCTTTTGGGAGAAAGAACGCAAGCCTTCATTGGAGCAATTAAGAGGTGTGATGGAGGTGTGTCCCCTAATCATGGTAACAGGAGAGAGAACGCAAGCTTTCATTGGAGCAATAAAGAGGTGTGACAGAGGTGTGTCCCATAACCATGGTGACGGGATAGAGAACGCAGGCTTTCATTGGAGCAATAAAGAGGTGTGATGGAGGTGTGTGTCATAACCATGGTGACGGGATGGAGAACGCGAGCTTTCATTGGAGCAATAAAGAGGTGTGATGGAGGTGTGTCTCATAACCATGGTGACGGGATGGAGAACGCAAGCCTTCATTGGAGCAATAAAGAGGTGTGACGGAGGTGTGTTCCATGACCATGGTAACGAAAATTAACTTTTTCAAATACTGCTGGAAAGAAAGTACTCGTGTACTTGCATCGCCTGCTACTGATAGATAGACTTCTAGTGCGGATATGCTGCAACAGCTCCACACAGATAAACATTCTTTGTATCTGAATGTGCTTCGTAGAGTACCAATAACGCGCGAGACGGGTACAAATGTCACGCGATATTTGTACTCCAGAAATATCCGCGAAATTCGCGGTTGTTTGTATTTTGACTCACTCCACAGGCTCGTCAAAATGCGGCACAAC